TGGATGGGATGCACGGGGGCTGCTGGCACTCAGCATGCTCTGCAAGGACCAAGAGGGGGGGGACGCAGCCACCACCCCCCTCCCATGCCAACTCCGTCCCCGCTGCCCCAACCCACTGGCACCTGGCCCGCAGCGGGACCGACCTCGCTGCCCCCAGCTCGGCTGTCGCAGGCGGAGCAGTTCTCATTTTGTTGTTTTCCCCTTAAAAACAAAACGGCTGATGCCTCGCTCGGGCCGTTTCCTCTCCCAGGAACACAGCCCAAAAACATCTGCGCCGGGACCTGCCCTGACGAATTTAACCCTCTGCGGGCCCGGCAGCATTGGGGCGAAGGAGTCGTGGCCGCCGTGCCCCCCCCCCCGGCCCCTCACCACTCATTAACTCGTGGTTTAACCATTGACGGTCCCGCAGGAGGAGCGGAGGAGGAGTTAACCCCTGCGCTGCCACCAAGGAGGGGCTGTGCGGGGACACGTCCGCGGGGCGGGGTAGGGCTGCTCGGGAAAGACCCCCCCGCAGAACTTCCCGGCACTGCGAACCATCCCTGACCCCCTCCCCAAATCCCCCTCCGAGGCCGCCACGCCCCGCGGGACCCCCTCCAGCAAGGAACCGACCCACCGCGGCGTTCCCAAACAGAGCGGGCGGGGGGCGGCCACGCAGCGCACGGATGTCACGCGTGGGACCCCTCCTCTCTACCCCAGCAGGACAGGGGGGTGCAGGGGATCCCCGCGCCGTGGCCGTACCTGGCTCATGACGCTTCCGAAATCCATCCGGGGTCTCTCGTGCTTACATCCGAAGGGGCCGGCAGCGCTGCCTCACCTGGCCGAGCGGCGCGGGGGGCGGCCGGGAGGCTGCCGGGGCGGGGGGGTCGGGGGCAGGAGGGAGCCCGGCGTCGGCAGGCGTGAAGGCGGACTGCAGGCTGAGCCCCCCTCCCGCCCCGGGACAAGCCCGGAGAAGGAAGGAAGGAAGGAGGGAGGGAGGAGGGAGGGGAGGGAAAGGAGAGGGGAGGGGGGGGAGAGAGCCGAAGGGTTTCGCTCCCCGCAGGCGGGACCCCGGCGATGGAGGAGTCCCGGCAGCCCCCCTCGCCCCTCCACACCCCCAAGGCCGCCGGCTGCCGGGAGGTGCGATGGAGCGGCCCCGGCCTTGGGGGAGGGAGGGGGGTCCCGGGGCTTTTTTCCACCGCTCCCCTCCCTCCTCTCTCTTCTCCCTCTCTTTCTTCTCTTCCCTCTCTTCGGCGCGCTCCCAGTCGGACGCGCACACGCCCAGCCCCGCTTCCCTCGCCTCCCCCGAAAACGCCCTTAAAGGCAACAGGGAGCCGGGGCCCCCCTGCGTCCCGAGCCCCGAAATGCGGCGCGCACCCCCCGGGCAGCGCAGCCGGGAGGCCCCGGGCGGCGGGGTCGGGCCCTTATCGCCCCGCGTGACGCCGCGGCGTCCCTGTGCCCTTGGCGGGGGGGTGGCAGGGGCACGGGCGTGGGGCCCGGCTCGGGGCCTCTCTGCTTGCCCCCCCCTGTCAGGAGGCGGTTCGCTAAGTCCAAGGAGAGCGCCCAAAAAGTGGCTCTTGGGTACCCTCCTTGGTGCCAAAGTGGGGTGAAAGTTTACCACTCCTCCTCCATGGAAAGCAAAGTGATGGAGAAGCCGTGCACCATGGGGGTGCCCCGCAGCCCCACATCACGCCCCGCTGCCCCCACTCCTCCTCTCCCACCCCAAGCCCCAGCTCAACCATGCGAGTAGGCATGCAGGCACCGAGGATCATGGCACAGCCTTCCCTGCAGTGGCCCGCAAAAAGGCAAACAGGCCAGGGGGGGCTGTGAGCCAGCCACCGGGCCCAGCACTGTTGACATTTTCTCACCCAACACCTCCCTGTTCCTATTTGCATTTCCGTTCTGGTGCTATAGGCTCAGCCAGAACACCAGCGCTGGCCCTGACTGCAGCCAGGGCACAGAGTGGCAGCAAGGGGCTCTCCCTGCATCCCTCTCTCCGGGCTGGGAGTGATCTCCAGAACTTCACATCAGCCAGAGCATCCCATGGATTGCACCCCTTGTGCCAGCATGGCCAGGAAGTGCCCACATCCCATGCTACTGCAACCAGGGAGAGTGCTACTCGCATATGGAGAAACTGAGGCAGAGAGCAGCTGAGCAACCATAGGGATTTCCACCTGCCTCTGTAGGACGAATCTCCACAGCGAGTACATTCTGCCTGACCCAATCTGTGCTCAGACCCCCCTGTGCCTTATTTTCCCCTGGAAGCATTTGGAGGGAGCAAAAGGTTTTAACGGGGGCAGTTCTCTCCTGAGCATCTCCTGCCACATCCACAGCAGCATCTGGGCATGGGCAGATGGAGTTGGGGTGCTGAGGGTTCTGCAGGGAAAAGTGGAGACAGAGGAGCAATGAATGCCCTGAGCTAGGAGCAAGCCATAGAGTCCAGCTGAGCTATGGCAGAAATCTCAGCCCCGGCACAATCCCAGCACCCAGAACATGGCCCCAGGATGGCTCAGATTAGAACCAGAGCCAGATGGGAAAGCATCAGCATCCCAGCAGGATAAGTGGGTGAGTGGAAGGCATTGACAGCACGTCCCTGTCCCCAGCCTGCAGGAGCTGTCCCAGAGGAGGAACGGAGCTGTCCCTTGAGGAGGTGACGTCACGGGACACAGCCACTGAAGTCTATAAATTGTCCCTGAACTCCATCCTCAGCCAAACACCAAATGCATCCCAGAGCCATCTCAGGGTGGTGGAAGTAGGTTCAGCACTCAGCCCTGTGTCAACCCTCAAAGACCCCAGTGCCCCCAGATCTGGCCAGTAACCCCCACCCAAAACAGCTCCTCCACATCCCAAAGCAAGCACTCAGCCTGGGAGAGCATCTCCAGCCCTGGTGCTAGCAGAAGAAGGGAACAAGGCAACAAAGAGCCAGGAGAGAGGCTCCCCATGCCCCATGTACCGCTGATCACTTGTGCAATGATTGTGGGCAGGCTCAACATCCCCACTCCCTTTCCCCTCCCAGAGGGTACAAGAAGGGCCCCAGCTCCTCCAGCAGCAGATCCAACCCCCCCCGGAGCTGAGACAGAGGCTGAATATTTTGGTGGTGACGTCAAGAAGGGGAAAAAGGAAACAGCAACGAAAAAAAAAAAACCACCCGATCCCCTCCAGGACCCACTGCAGCGCCACGAGATGGGGGCAGTGCTGCCCCACTCAGCTCCCCATCCCACACCCTGACTGGGCCCGTGCCAGGGCCAAGAACACATTGCTGCCTTATTCTTCCTCCCTGCTCTGTTGTGCAGACCCAGAGGTGTTGCGAATTACCTGTCCCAAAGGCAGGATAGCTTTGAACGGGGCACTAGGGACAGGGATGAGTGCGATGGACACATCCTCCCTTACGCCGTGCAGCACAGAAACAGCAAGGCGCAGAGGCTGGGGAATGGACAGCCTGTCCCACAACATGATTAGGACACTGCCGTCCCCTCCCCATGTCCTACCTTATCTGCCCATGACACAGAACCCAGGCATATCCCATACATCACAGTGTGCCCATCACCCCACATCCAGCCCACCACATCCCCCTCCCAAAGCCAAGGACCTGGTCCCTGTGAGAGGGGACAATAGGTGCCGCGGGCACTGGGAGCTACAGCTGTGGCCAGGACGCGCCTCGCTGCCCGGCCCTGGCCCTGCTCCAGCACCCAGTTTAATGATGGACAAACCCCCCTCCAAGCTCCTGCAGGGGGTACTTGGAAAACAACCTGGGTTTGGAGCACAGCCAGTGGAGAAAGATCAGCCCCAGTGCACCGCCGTGCAATGTGCACGCACACATGAGATGTTCTTGCATAGATGTTTTAGCACACAAAGGGATGAGGATGGGACCCAAGGGATCTCTCATGGCCAGGCTGGGCTCTGTGATTCAGTTCCCCCACTTTTAAAGGAAGCTGCAGCTCTGAGTAGGGAGCTTTAGTGCAAGGAGGGATGGCAGAGGTGGACTGCGGGGCTCAGATGCACGTCAGTGTCCAGCCGTCGGTCTCCTCAGAGGGAGGGGGGAAGGTTTGCTAAGCAAGGAAAAATCCCCGAGTGGAGGGGCCGGGTGCAAGAAGGGCCTTACATGGGCATGGGAACGGCTTCGTGCTTCCCAGATGATGTCTGTGCGTCTGCCCCGGCCCCCCCCAATGCCACCCACAGGCTACAGGCACCCTGCCAGCCCTGCCTGCCACCCCTGTCCCCATGGCCACTCCAGGGTCCCCAGCACACCCCCCACTTCCCACTGTACCCTGTCCATGTGGAGTTTTTAGCTGAATGGGGTCAAAAGGGGGGCGGCAGGAGAGGTAAGGGCAGGTCCCCCCAGAGTAACTTGTGAAGTGGCCACAACAACACTGGGGGGTTCCAGAGACAGCAGCAAACAGGGGTGCTGCGGGTTCAGCAGCATCTCCACGGCAGGAGGAGGAAGCACTGGGGCTCAAAGTACCACACATCTTGGGGTAGTCTCATTCCCCAACTCTGGGGGCTCAGGGGTTAAATCTGAGGTGCTTCAGGTGGATGTGAGGCTGTTTTCTCACTGTGCCAAGCCCCCTCCCCACACATGCCCTCCCTGGAGACCCTACAATAACAAGCGGTGTGAGTCAGCTGGCTGCTCGCCTGGCCCGAGGAGCCCCTCCCTGGGCACTGGCCCAGCAGAGCTTCACAGAAGGCCTCAGCCCCATGCATGCAACCCCTCAGAAGCACCGCATGGGAGGTTCTCCAGCCTCCAGCAAGCACAGGAAGGGTGACGGAGGCTCACAAACTGCAGCCAGCCACAGTCTTCCCTTGCGCACAGAGCCAGCACTTTGGGTGCAATGTCCTACTGTGCACAACCCCATATTAGCCACATGAGAATCCTCATCAGACATACATGTAGGTGACACAAATGCCACTCCTATCAGACACCAAAGTGAGCACCCACCCGGTGGGGATATGGACCCCAGTACTCCCCCAGACATCCATAGCCCCTCCCATGCAAAGCGGGGCATTCCACGAGGTGCCAGCCTTACCTTGCTTTGGCACTTGGTGTGGCAGGAGAGCTTGCAGCCTGTGGGAGGGGAGAAGGGGTCAGTGGGGACATGGCCACAGGGCTGCTCATGGGGACTGGACAGGGTGGCCACCCATGGGGGGACACAGGCAGCAACAGTACTGGGCACAGAGCACAGAGATGCACACTGCGGGTGCATAGAGGCACACACCTTGCACATGTGCACACACACAGCCAGATGCATGAACACCACATGTGTGATCCATCCACCCACAACGACAGTGTGCCAAAGGCACCGTGCCTCTGCTCAGAGATTAATAGCATAAACGCATGCAAACACAGCTTGCGATCTCTTGCACATGTACATGTGCGCAGACACAGCTGTGCACAGCTGTGTGCATACATAGTGGGGCTGTATGGGATGCTGACCCACCGGCAACACCAGGCGCTCCCCAGCATGCCATCCCAAAGGGACACGAGGGTCCCTGTGCAGCATGCTCCATGGCCACACTGCCCCCCTCCCTGAGGCCCCGTCCCCCCCGGGATCATTTCCTGCAGTTCAGGGAACACAGGAAGCCACATTGTTCCCGCGACCTGGAACGTTTCCTCCCACCACCCCTCGCACGGGGCTCAGCACCGCCACACACGTGCAGGGGGACACGTCACCGCGTGTGCCACTGTGGCCTCGAGGGGGACAGGGCCACGAGCAACAGCAGGGGCGTGAGCATCCACACACGTGATCCTGGAACAACACCACTGCACGCTCAATGCACGCTCGGCTCACTCACAATCGCATGCAGAAGCGTGCAAAAGCACCGCTGCATCCTCTCACTCACACGCACTCCCGTCCCCTCACCTCGGCAGGTGCTGCCCTGGCGCGTGATGGCCTGCCGGCAGATCCCGCACGCCTTCACCTTCTTGAAGCTCGTCATCTTGAAGGCGTGCGCCGGGGGAGACTCCAGGTCCTGGGGCTGCAGGACACGGGAACAAATCAGCACCCCTAACTTTTGCCCCACCCTATGACGAGCTCTGCCCTGCTCGGTTCCCTCTGGGCTGGGATCTGCCTCCATCTGCTCTCAGCCCCCCTCTCCTCCTCGGGGTAATCCTCACCTTGTGCCCGGCCACGCGGCAAGGGGTGCCAACGATCACCCCCGGAGCCGCGGCCCCTTTAAATAGTCTCTGCCGCCCCCTGGCGGTGTGCGGAACACTTGTGTGTGCGTGTGCGCGCACACGCGTGTGCACACGCACGGGCACACCCACATGCACACATGTCCGCAATTGGAAGTGTGGGTGCACGCACGCAGATGTGCGTATACACTTACATGTGTGTGCACATACGTGTGTGTTGGTGTGTCCCTGCGTGCTGCAGTGTGCGTGCGTTTGTGTGTGCATGCAACTGCACGTCTGTGCTTCTGGGGGTGTGTGCAAGCGCACGAGTGCATGTCTGCAGGTCTGCTCACGTGTGAGAGCACGTCTGAATGCATCAAGAAGCTTGTGCAAACTGGCGTGCAAGCACAGTGAGTGTGCACATACAAACGTGTGTGCACGTGCACACCCAAGCATGCACACACACCATCGGTGTGCGTGCAGTGGGCACCGTAGTGTAAAGCTGTGCTGTGGATGTGCGCTGGGCAGGGACATGGGAGGGGAGGGGGGAGGCACATTTAGGGAAGTGTCCCCATGGCCACACTGCCCACTATAGCCCAAGGGAGCTGTGAGTGCGGGTATGGGGACAGCAGGACATAGAGACACCAGGAAACAAGGATGCTGGCACGGATCTGGGATGCTATATAGGGGGGACATCCCAGACTGAGAGAGGGGACATCCATGGCAGCGCACCAGCCATGCCCACCCACCCACCATCCGATGAAGATGTGAGAGCCACAAATACGCCTTTTCAAGCCAGGACTAATAGGATTAAGCAGAGGCCCCGCAAACCCTGCACTCCCCCTGGGCCAGCACTGCAGGGAGCACCCCAGTGTGGGTACCACCCCCTCCTGCCCCAGTTTTCCCAGTTTGCCCAATACGCACATGGGGACATAAGGTGGGGGCACAAGGGCCGTGCATATGTGTGTGAGTGCACCTTGTGCATTCTATGGACATCCTCCCTAGCAGCTAAGTCCCTCCCTGGGCTCAGTGCTCCCCTGGCTGGGGCTCCCACGCCACAGTTGCTGGGTGACAGCGAGGCCTCCCGATGCCATGAGCTCGTTTGCATATGCAAATCAGCCTCCCCCTCCTCCCCCCCACGCTGCAGGGTGTCCCGGGAAGAGGTAGTGCCCCCTGCTCCCAGGGACCCCCCGGGGATTCCAATGTGTATCCCGCATGCACATCTCCACCTCAGCCCCCGCTCTGCTTTGTTAACGGTAATTATCCTCATTAGGGAAAGCGCAGCCCCTTCTGTTCCCACCCCGTGGAGACCCCCTCCATTTGTCACATTGCCAACACGCCGGTGGGGGTGTCACCAACCCATGGAACGTACGGGATCCGGCCTCTAGCTGGCAGGATCTGAGCATCATCCCTGTCCCCAGGGCTGGGGGGCACTTATGGGGGGTGAGGACCGTCTGGGGATGTCACCTTGAGACCCATGTCACCAAATAGAGGGGATGGTGGGCGTGGGGGGGGAGGAGAAGACAGGATAGACAACCCTACTCACGGCCCCCGAAGCAGAGGGACCCAGGGATGCTGGGAGGGGCCCCATGGGCTGGATGAGGCCCCGGGGAGAGGTGCCAGCTGCATGGACTCCTGGGTTCACTGCCCAGCACTGCAGAGAGGTGCGGGCCGGAGGGGGGGCTGCCTCCCCCCGGGTGATCGGGGCACCCGCCTACTCCATCCACTTCTGCTGGGGCTGCAAAACCGGGCTGGGGGGGGGAGGGGGTTGGGCACCGGGGTCCCAGCCCGGAGCATGGGGGACCCCGAAGCACAGATGGCCCGGAGGGTGGGGGCTCAGAGCCGCAAGCCCCTAGCATTCCCCGGCAGCTCCCAGTCTGCCGGTTCCCCGCCTCCCAGTGCCGAGGGACAGCGGACTACGAGGACCGCAGTGGAATCCCGGATGGTCATAACGGAGAAACAGCCCCCAGTCCCAACAACACCCCCTCGGAGACCCCCTCCTCATTCAGCCCAGCGTCCTTAGCCCCCCCCACCGCCCCCTCCCCACCGCCACGCAGTCCCCGGGCTGTTCCCCCCCCCCCCTCCCAGCCCTAGCCGCTCACCGGATGCCCCCACCCCCGGGCCGCCCCCACCGCTCGGTGTTGCGGGGGATTGGGGTCCCAGCGCCAGCGCAGCGCTCTGTCCCGCTTTTCCCGACCCGCTCCCGCTCCACCACCGCCGCTGCTCCCTGCCCCCCCCCTCCCCGCGACAGCACTCCCCACCCCGCGCCCCTGGTCCCGGAGCCGTACCCAGAGCAGGCAGGAGAGGCACAGCCCGGTCATGCTGCCCCGCAGCCCCGCCGCACCACCCGCAGCCGTCCCGCTCGCTCCGCCCGCCCGGCCCGCCCCCGACCCCCCCAACCCCGGCCCCAAACCCCCCCCCCCCGGCCCCCATATAGCTGGGGGACAAAGAGGGGGCAGCGCCCTCCCGGAGCAACCCCCCGCAGCACCCACCGCGGAACCCCGGGGGGGGGGCTAGCAGCGAGACCCCCACTCCCCCTTCCCAAAAGGCTGCGGTGGCGACGGAGTGGGGAGATGGGGGTGGCGATTGTCCCCTGGGTGGTCCCGGGATGGGAGAGCCGGGGAGGGAGCAGCGCTGTGCCAAAGCTGCGCCGAGCTGGGGGCCTCGCAGGGGGGGCAGGACGGGAAACGGCTGGGCAGCCCCTCAGCTCTATAGGGTGGGATTCGGGTGCTGCGCGGCACCTCCCCGCAGCCGCGGGGGGAGGAGGCCGGCGGTGAGTCCCGCAGCCTTGCGCTCAGGCGGGTGGCAGCACGGGGGGGTGAGTCAGGACGGTAGGGGACACGCAGGGCAAGGGATGGAGACAGCGGGGAGCGCCTGTCCGTACACACATCCCCCCACACCCCCCTCCTTTACTACAGCCTCTCGTTGTTGCCCGCAAATGAAAGCTCCTGGGGAAAACGGGGTCCCTGCCCCCCATAAATCACGGCGTCCCATTCAGCGCCGGGACAAGCCTGGGACCTGCATAAGGGCAGGGACAGGGGCACGCAGCGAGGACAAGGGGGAGAGGGGGGCATGGGGACACTGCCTGTCAGCGTGATTTAGGGTTCATTTTCCTAGCGGGGGGCACTACATAGAGAATCCCCCTGTGTGTACCAGTGAGGCAGGCACACCCCATGCTTACACCCCCTTCGATGCATAAGGGCAGCATAAGTGTATCATTGGTGGGGTCCTGCCCACAGCCACTGTGTCCCCAAGCCACCCCCACCTGCTTCCAGCAGCAGTGCCCCCACACTGCCCTTGGGTGCCCATCCTGCACACACATAGGTGTATGCCACGTGTCCCATGCGTGCCCACATGGGCATCCCACAGCAACAAGCTCACATATACACTCCATGCAGGGGCACAGAAGGGTAACACAACGATGAGGACAGGGTGCTGTGTGGGCACAGGTGTCCTCCACACTGGGTGATGGTGGGGACATGGATGCCCCACATGGGGTGATCTTTTGGCACAGGGATTCTGCATGCATTGGTTGCCCTTAGGCACAGGGCACTTTGCTGAGGACAGGGATGTTGAGCACACCTGGCATTGTACGGGAATGGGGACCCCCCCCAGTGCTGGTTGCTTCATAGGTTCTACTCACAGCATGCACGAGGTTCCCTCATTCTAGGTGCTGTAAGGACAGAGGGATCACAGAGCACACGCCAGGCGCACAGGGATGCAGGTTATAAAGTGTGGGGGGGGTCACAGTGCTGTGCCAGGAGAGACACAAGGAGGGACAAAGGACATGCCCCCAGCCCCTGTGCACACACACGCACACACACACACACACACACATACACGCACACACACGGTTTAACCCCTTGATGCCTACAGCCAACTGCCCCCCCACCCTCACCCCGCCCCGTCTCTGTGCACCCCCAGAGCCCTCCCCAGCTCCCCCTGCAGCCCCCACCACGACCCAGGGCACCGTGCACTCGTGGCACCGCTTACCTCAGTGTGCCGGCAGGCGCGGCAGGGCAGGAGGCAGGATACCAGGTATTTCCCCCAGCGAACCAAGGTGGCAAAGCACCAGCTCAGGCGGGTCATGGTGCCCCTGCGCAGGGGTCACCCAGCCCACGAGGGGGCACTGATGGCAGCGGGGAGCCAGCCAAACCCGGCTGTGCCCCCCGGCTGTACCGGGCTGCGGTGCCCGGGAGGTGCCCAGCAATAGGCACGGGACTGTGCGGCAATGGGCTGGGGGCTGCGGTCCCACCAGGCCCTGCCCCCCCCCCCTTGCTGGTCCCCCAGTGTCGCCTGCGCGCTGGCAGCCAAGCAGGGAGCACCGTGCCCGCCCATGTCCTGCAGTGCTTGGGAGGGAGCCAGCTCCGCCACGTTCCCCCTCCTTCTCCTTCTCCTTCTCCTCCTCCTCCTCCCCTTCCGCCGCCTCCTCCCCGGGCCCCCCCCTCACGTCTGGATTAACCCCCCCACCTCGTGTTTTTGTCAGCCCCTCTGCACGCACCAGGTCCTTCTATGGGGTGGGTGCTGGATGCTGGCAGTGCCCCCCCAGCCCCTTGTCTTGTAGATGTGTGAGAGCTGTAAAGCTCTTTGAGCGCAGCCTCCTCTGTGCACTCAGCTGTGCCTCAATTTCCCTATGGTTCTCCCCAAGCCACAGGAGGGGAGGTCCCTGCCATCATTCAGCCCCCCCCCTGGCCCCAAGACCCTCAAACCCCGTGGCAGGCGCAGATGGGAAGGGACTTGGGGAGTCCTCTATGTGCCCCAGGGTGGGCAGAGGGATGATTTTGGGAGCGGGGGGGGGACCAGGGCACAGCCCCATGCCCCAAGCAGCAGGGAGGTGACATCACCACTGGCTGCACTGTCCCCCACCCCCTTTTAATTAATTAGCAGATGGCCCCTGAACCCCCCCGCTGTGCAGAGCCAGGCCTGTGCAGGGCCATTAGCGTTATTGGCTGCACTGAGCACGGGCCAGGCCTCGTTAATTGAATTGCACCCGCGCCAAGGGCGGGCGGGTAATGTGTGCCCCCCCCCCCACGGCCCACCAGCACACCCCCTCAGGGACAGGGACACTGCTACTGGGTGGCACTCCAGGAGAAGGGGAGCTGGGGATGGGATGCTGTTGGGGGGACCATGGCACACACGTGTGCATCCATCCACACAGCTCTTGACCCCCCCAGTGTGGGGTGCAACCTTGCAGGGTGATGTAGGGTGATGGGGGCAAAGGGGGGCACTTAACATCCTGACACTCATCAGAAAAGCGGCCAGCCCCCACTCAGCACCACTTCCTGCTTTCACTTTGCTGCCGAGCTCAGGCCCTGGATGGGGGTGGTTGTTCTCCCGGCCCCCCCCCGGCGTTAAAGGTAGGGGTATGGGGGGCTGGGGCAGAGGACAGGATGTAGGGGGGCTGTGGGCCTTCTGTGGAGCACTGCTTCTCCCAACAGGGCTCTGTAACCAAGGGATATTGTTCCTGGGGGCTTTTGTGTGTGGGGGTTCATTTTGCCAAGGGAGGTGGCAGCTCTTGTTGCTTCCCTGAACTCAACATGGTTCCTCAGCCCCCTCCCCAGAAGCAGAAGGGTGACACTCAAAGCATTCCCAAGCCATGTGCCCCCCTTGCCATGGGAAGGATTGGGGTCCCTCCAGGCCTGGCAATGTGCTTTCCCCACTCCAGAACACCAGGCAGGAGGGCTTGGTAAAGGAAGCACCCATCAACTCAGCACCCCAAAACCTGGGAACTGGGGCAGGTGGGGCAGAAATATGGGGCTGTGTGGGGCATGGAGAGGACTCAGCCGCTCCCATCCTGAGCACTTCCTCCTGGCCAAGGTACAAAAGGAGAAGGAGTGTGGGCGTGTGGAGCAGTAAGAGGAGAGCAGCACCCAGCAGCACCTCAGGGCACCCACAGCTCTTCAGGTAAGGGGCAGTTCTGTCCAGGGAGAACTGAAGCATGGGCATGGCCATAGGCATAGGCATAGGCATGGGCAGGGCAGGCGGAAGGGAACACACATCCAAGGGCACCCAAGGGCACTGGGATGGGAAACCAGGCGTCCTGCTGTCCCTCCCTGCCATGGCCAGCCACCACCTGTAGTGACTAGCCCTGCAGTTGTGCTACCCCTATGGGCACTGCTCCTCGTCTTGTCCCCTTGGTGCCACCCCCCAGCTCTATGCCCCCCACAGCAAGTCTACCACACTCCCAAATGCCATGCCACCCCTGCAGGCAGCACGCTATGCCAGGGGGACTCTGTCCAGCAGGGGACTCATTTTGAGGGTCTGCATGCTGTGGGCCCTGTGCCCTCTCTTCCTGACAAGGGAAGGGGAATCAGGGGCCCCATGCACTGATCTTGAGGTGAGCAAGGGAAGCGAGAGCAGAAACAAAAGCAGTGCTTCCCCCATGCTATACCCACATCCTGAATACTAGGGGAGGGAGTTGGGAATAGGGATGGGGACAGGGTGGGGGGCTCAGTCCCTGTAGCATCTGAGGAATGGGGCAGAATCTTGGGATGAGCTGGCCATGCCATGGGGCAGAGCCCATGGGCATTTTGGATCAAGGCAAATGGACAGCAAATGGGCACATGGTGGAGCACCTTCGCCCATTCAATGCCCCATATGAATGGGGTGGCGTAGGCAGGGAAAGGGGTGCCTGAGCCCACCCCCCTTCTTACCTTAGCAGAAAGCAGCCCCAGTGTAGAGCCAGGGGAGTAAAAGTCTCCATCAGTGGGGCAGTGGGAGGCCAAGCTGGAATTTGGGGGTGCAGTGGTACAAGCCAGCTCAGCACCTCTAATGGGTGCCCCTGCCTTTGCAGAGGTCCAGAGCTGGAGCCATGGCAGGGGACGGGGAGCTCAGACGCGTCATCAAGGACCTGCAGAGTAAGTGTGCCGGCATGCCCCGTGCCAGTGCGTCCCCACAGGCACCCTCAAACCACCCCACAGCCACCGCTGTCTGTGCCCCTTGCTCCCGCCGCTCCGCCTCTCCATCCCTCCGCCGGTTCCTCTTTTGCCCTCGGGCAGAAATCCCCGAGCTGGAAGCAGGGAGGACGTGGGGCTGGGCAGACTGCCCGAGCCGTGCCAGCTCATCCCTGTTGCCCTGCAGAAACCATTGCTGAGCTGAATCGCAGCTACAAGGAGCAGAACCTGCCGGTGACGGATGGCAGCCGGGAGCTGCACAGCCTCTGTGCCCAGCTGGAATTCCTCCTGCAGGTACTCCCCCCCCTGGGGGGCGCTGGTAGTAGAGGGTCCTCATGCCAAGCATTCTGGGGAACCCTGGATGATGTCATCTGTTTGTGGGCATCCCCAGCCATACAGGTGGGTGGGCATGAGGATTGGCCTCGCCTGCACCCATATGTGGAGCATTTGTTGTGGTGTGTGCAACAAGAGGGGAAACTGAGGCACAAAGCCAGCAAATGGAGCTGTCCCCAGACATGTGGGGTTCGACTGGGGAAGTCAGCTGAGTACCACAGAGACAGGCTGGGCAGCACAGGGACCCTCCTAGTAAGCCCGTGTCTCTTCCAGTTTGATCTGAAGGAGAAGAAGAGCTTTTTTGGGCAGCGCAAGGACTACTGGGACTTCTTGTGCCAGGGCCTGGCACAGCGTCGGCAGGAGCACGAGGGCATCCGCTTTGTCACCTCGCTGGACAAGGTGGGCATGGGCCAGTGGAGGGGGCTCACAGGGCACCCACTGGGTGGGCATGGTCACAGATGCTGGATGCACAGTGCATGGGCTGTGCTGGGGGTGCAGGTTGGCATGGCAGTGCTGCATCACCCCTGCTTCCCTCCAGCTCAAGACCCCTGTGGGCAGAGGCCGTGCCTTCCTGCGCTACTGCCTGGTGCACCGGCAGCTAGCCGAGTCCCTGCAACTCTGCCTGCTCGACCCCGAGAGCCTCAGGTGAGAGCATGGGGAGCACAGGGGTGGCTTGCCACTGCAAGGCATGGCTCCCTGCTCTGTGTGCTCGAAGAGGATGTGTGAGATTCTATTTGGTTGCAGTGAGTGGTACTACGCCCGCAGCCCCTTCCTGAGTCCCCAGCGGCGGGCTGAGATACTGGGCAGCCTGTACGAGCTGGATGGCATCACCTTCCACCTGGCCCTGCACAGGGCTGACCTGGACACTGCCTGGCCCATGTTCTCTGAGTGAGTGCTGGGCACATGGGGGGATGCCAGAGAGAATGGGGACACCTGGAGCTCAACATCGCTGCCTTGGTGGCCCTGAGCCCCATGTCCCCTCTAGGACACTGGTGCGGCCCAGTGTGCTGAAGATGACCCTGCAGACAGAAGGTAGCAGCACGGGGGTACATAGATGTCCTGATGGCATCGCCCAGCCAGTTGCAGTGCCCCATGGGATGCCAGCCTATCCCAGCCCACGGGCAAAGGGTGAGGAGGAGGATGATGTGGAAGCAGAAGAGAATGGAGAGGAAGACACAGAGGACAACAAAAATGAGGAGGACAACGAAAAGGAGGAGGACATGCCGAGCACTGCTGAAGCACAGTGTAGCACCAACGCGGATCCCAGCCCGACCCCAACACCCGACCCGGGGCTCACACCCGGCTCCCCAGCCCATAGTGCGATGGAGGCATCCCTGCGAGCACAGGTGTCTCAGCTGCGTGCCGAGCTGGGGCGGCGGGAGGAGGCCTGGCGTGCCCAGCTGGAACGGGAGGAGCGGCAGCACCGGCAGAAAGAGGAGTGCAGCACCCAGCAGGTCCGGCTGTGGGCCCTTGAGGCCGAGGCGCTGCGGGACACCAACGCCTTCCTCAGCCGAACGCTGGCCGAGGCGGCGGGTGGCCCAGGGGGGCTGGCACAGGCACAGGAGGAGGCTCGGCAGTGGCGGGAGGTGGCGGAGGAGCGGGCAGCACGCCTGGACGAGGCAATGGCAGAGGTGGCAATGCTGACCTCGCGCCTGCAGGAGTGCCAGGCTGCAATGCAGGCACGGGGACAGACAGACGCCCCAGCCCAGATGGCCGCCCTGGAGGAGGTGCTGCGGCGGGCACTGGAGCTCTCCCATGGCCCACTGATGGACAATCAGGAAGAGGGGGACCCCAGCACGGCTGCTGGCATGGCAATGGTACGGGCGAGCCATGGGGTGTCCCACTGTGGGATGTGGGTCTAAGAGGCCTGAGCCCTGCTTATCCCCCAGCGACTCACGGCCCTGGTCACAGCAACACGGGAGGAAGCCTTGCAGAGCAGGCAGCAGATCCAGGCCCTGCAGGAGGAGGTGGTGCGGCTGCAGGAGCAGCTCAGCAGGTGGGGACGGGACAAACTGCAGGGTGCCCTACATGCTGCAGGGGTCACCCTTGGTGCCCCACTTTGAGCCAGGGGATGGGCAGGGAGAGAGATGTGGAGAGGGAGAGATGGAGTTGGGAAGGGAAGCAGATAGAAGTTTGGGGATTGATGAGTAGGTGAAAGAATGGATGCATCAGTGGGCAGAGGGATATGGGAATTAATCTGGGGTGAGCAGATGGAGGGAGAGATAGGGTGATTTGGGGTGATTGGATGGGTAAGCAGAGGGATGAAGGGATGAAGATTGGGTGAGCAGATGGAGAGGATGATGGATGGATGGATGGATGGATGGATGGATGGATGGATGGATGGATGGATGGATGGATGAAGGGATGGATGAAGGGATGGATGAAGGGATGGATGAAGGGATGGATGAAGGGATGGATGAAGGGATGGATGGGCAGAAAGACAAAGGGATGGCTTTGGGGAAGGATGGATGGACAGCTAGGGTGGATGTTAAGATGGCTGTGAGGATGGACAGTGGATGGCTTTAGGAATGGATGGCCACCAGAGGGACAGGCAGACCTTCTCCCCACTGCCACCCTGGGGCTGGGCTCAAAGGTGCCACACCTGCCCCAATGCCAGGGCTCGTCAGGACGGGGAGCGCTGGGCATCAGCCCTGCAGCGGACGCAGCGGGAGGTGCAGGAGCGGGAGGCCATGCGTGGCGCAGAGCAGGCACGGCAGCAGGAGCTCATCCGCGACATGAAGGGGCGGCTGCTGGAACTGCTGCGGTGAGAGCAGGGCCCTGCCCCCTCACCTGCCCTTTGTATACATCCTGCCACCCCCCTCCAGTGGGTGTGGAGCCACACATACATGATTGCTCCCAAAGCTCTTTGCCCAGAGGAGGGCACCAAAGCCCAGGGAAATCCCACTTGCCACCTTGGGGAGGTTCAGTGCCCATCTTGGGTGCCCAACTTCAGTGCCAACCTTAGGTCACTCACATCAGACTGTGTTCCCAGACACCTCACACTGCATGAGCAGTGCAGAGACAACAGCAGGGACACACTGTCATATGTGTGTTTATGGGATTTATGGGATAAATCTGGGCACAGCCAGCAGCTGCAGAGGGGCTGTTGCATGGAGCCTGTCAAACACAGGAGCGCACACACACATACTGATCACACATGCAACCCACTTGCAGTGGCCCAGTATCTCACCAAGGGTGACCCATCCCCTCCTTGCAGGGAGAAGGATGCCCTGTGGCAGAAGACAGAGGGCATTGACGCACCAGCACCCAGCCCAGCGCCCCGTGATGTGGGGCTGTGCGCCCGCTGTGGCAAGGATTTTCGCCTCCTGTCCCGGCGGTACAGCTGCAGGTGGGCACGGGAGGACACCGGGGAACATAGCAGGGATACCAACCACCACCACACACCTACCATCTGCTCTCTCAGCAGGCTGTGCCAGGGCAAGGTGTGCCACGTGTGCTCCATGGACATGGGGAAGCAGGGGCGATGCTGCCTGCTCTGCTACCAGCAAAGGCACCCACAGGCTATGTGAGCTGGGAGGACATTCAACCTGCTGTGCCTGGGATATGGGGCCGGCGGGTAGGTCCTGCTGCTCTGGTTTTCAGGTTGTGATGTCTTTTGCATGGCTGGCCCATGGAGAAAGAAACAACCCGGTGCTGACATCCCAGTGGCTCCAGTGTCATCAATCCGTCATTGCTGCTTTGATGCCCTGAGGGGCATTGGGAATGGGCATGCTGCTATGGGGAAGTCTGAGCCCTCCTTGGGGGGACTGTCTGTTTATGGGGTGTCCCTGCCGAGGACAGGCTTCACCCCATCCTGACGCAGGGAGTATGCAAGGGGAGAGGGCTCTTAGCCAACAGCCTTGGTTTCCTGCCAGGCACCGCTTGAGCAAGACCTTTCCCAGACATAAAGGTGATGGGCTGGCCCTGATCTGCTGCTTTGCTTCTGTGCAAGCCCCCTGCTGTCTCTGTCCAACTCAATTCCTCCTCCCTCAGTGCCAGGAACCTTCATATCCTGTTCCCAGCCTCTCCTCTATCCCACACATCTCTGATATCCTTAGGATCAAGGATCCCAGGAAGCTGTGTTATGGATGACAGAGGAGTGGAGTGGGACCCCAATAGAGAAATGCTGGGGGACGCTGGGACAGGGACCATGATGTCAGATCACATATGAGGTGGCAGGAGGGACCCAAGCTGGGCCACAAGCCCCTCTTTGCTCTGGTATCAGCCCCAGTTGCCCAAGCCAGTGCGGAAATCTCCCTCTGCCCCATCCCGGTTGTGTAAGGGGCAGGTTCCTGACTCTTTGCACAACGCAGCGCTGTGGGCAGGGGGTGTCCCAGATGCTACCACCTTTGTGGATTGCAGGGGGGAGACAGGGCTAGCTCAGCGTCACCAAGGACAGGGAACAGCCACTGAAGGATTTTGCAGGGATTTGCTTTATTTGAGTTCAAATGGGTACTGGGAAGGGGGTGGTGAGAGTTTGATCCCAGCCGTGTTCCCAGGTGTGCAGAGATGACACAGTGACCCCACGCTAGGGAAGGACTCGGTGGCACAGAGTGACGCCAGGTTGTGGTCCCCTTGAGGGATGTGCAGGATGCAAACCCTCTGCAACAGCCTCTTGGGTAACAGCACTTTCCTGCACTCACTGTCCCCAGGAAGTGCCGTGGCTGAGAAGTGCCCTGGGGACGTGCCCCAACCCCTCCTGTCACCCCCCAGTCAGAGCCATACAAGTGTGGAAAAACTTGCCACCTCCTTTATTGCTGGGCAGCTATCATTGCCACACCGGGGCCGTGATGTCCTCAAAGTCACAAGCTTTATCCCAAAGCACAGGGAGAGCGGGCAGTGTTCAGCATCTTTCCATTGGGACCCCCCATGCTGATGTGCCTTTGCACGTGCAGTGTGACCATGTGCAGCCCACAGTAACACCCATCTGTGTGCCAGGGGGCCGTACCTACTGCCCAAGGCTGTGTCTTCGGTTAGGATGCTGGGATGTGTTGGGTGCCAGGACTGCATGCACCAGGTCTTGGGGAGCAGTGGAGCTCAGAGGGTGGTGGAGGTGTTGCCAGAGGTGGAAGTGTAGGAGGTGCGGCCATAGCGTGCCACAGCATCCTTGCTGATGAAGCCGCGCTGAGCCAGGATCTTGAGGAAGCTATTGCGAAACTTCTGCCCGATGAAGGCGTAGATGATGGGGTTAATGCAACTGTGGGCAAAACCAAGGACCTGCGTGATGGAGAGGGCTGTGTCGATGTGTTTCCTCCTCTCACAGGTCTCGGTGATGGCATGCGTCCTCATGAGAGTGTCGCTCACCAGAGTGATGTTATAGGGCAGCCAGCAGACAAGGAAGACCAGCACCACAGCTAGGATGACCTTCATGGCACGCTGCTTCTGGACGTTCTTGGTCTGCAGGAGGGTGTGCACGGTGACACCATAGCAGAAGAGCATGACCAGGAGGGGCAGGGCGAAGCCGAAGGTCTGTGGCAGCACCCGCAGCACCACCCTCCACTTGGTGGTATTCTCATTGCCAATGCGCTCGTAGCAAACCGTGCCATTGCGGTCTGAGACAAACGCCTCGCGGAACAGCAGCACGGGCAGGGAGAGCAGCACCGAAAACACCCAGATGCCCACACAGACAAACTTCACCCAGTGCCTCTTCTCGGTGACAGCACGGGTGGCGTAGACAATGGCCAAGTAGCGGTCCACGCTGATGCAAGCCAACAGCAGGATGCCGCTGTAGAAGTTGGATTCCTGCAGCACCGAGATGGCTTTGCACATGACGGTGCCAAAAACCCACTCGTGGGCCCAGTAGGCAGCCCAGAGCGGCAGGCTGAGAGCAAAGAGCAGGTCGGCCACAGCCAGGTTGAGCAGGTAGATGTCGGTGACGGAGCGATTCATGTGGCTGGAGGTGACCACCAGCACCACCAGCCCATTGCCCACCATGCTGAGGAGGAAGACCAAGCAGTAGATGAAGGCTACCAAGTATTTGTTGGCTACGGAGCCTTCATTACGGCATGGGGAAGAGGAGCCATCGATGTCAGGCAAAGCCAGGCTGTAGTTGCCATAGTCAGAAGTGTAGTTGTATAAGATGTCAAAGAGTTCGTCAGCATAAAATGTCCCCATTTTGCCTGCAAAGCACAAAGCAGTGTGGGCTCAGGGCACCTCCTGCTCCCACTGCTCTCCCACACCCCATAACCTCACTGCACCATACAGTGAACCATGCCTGGACACCACCCCCACACGTCCCCGTGCCCAACAGCCCCATACGCACCCCTTCACCTCAGCACTGCCCCTCTCCTGTCCCCTCCAAGTCTATCCCCAATGAAGGAGCACTTCTGAGTCCCCCTGGTTGGTATGAGTCCTTTGAATCCCAATGCTCTCCCTAAAAACAGTTCCCATGCCAGCTCCCCGAGTGCACCGCAGTACCCGGAGCAGAGGAAAAACGCTTCTCCCCACTGTATTTTTGGCTTCTTCTGATTCCCCACCCAAATTCCTTGCAGTTCCTCTGGGGCCAGATTTCTGCTCACAGAAGGGAAAGTCCCCATTTCCTCTCCCAATCCCACACAGAGAACTATATGGGGATACCGGATCCCCCCAGGGTTGGGGTTACCCTACGTGGAGTTGGGTTCACACTATGCGGAGCCCTCCCTGCACCCCTTGTCCAGGTTAGTAGGGTGCCCCATTGCACCCCAAAGCTAAGCATCCCAGGCACTCACCCGCCACTCGCTGCCTCTGCTGCACCCCAAATCTTCTCCCCTTCCCAGCTCCCAGATTTGGCTGCTCCAAGGCCTGGCTGAGGGTTGCCACAGGATGTCCCCTGCCGTCACCCCAAAACAGAGCCCCTGGGGAGCGCGGGGACGTGGACCCACTGCTGCCACCGGGTCGCACACCTGTGCTAAGTGACCCTGATCCAGAGCTGACACCGCCGCTTTATGCAGCGCAGGGAGGAAGCAAGGTTGCAAAACCTTCTGCAGTGCGAAGAGGAAGCGGCAGTCAAGGGGGCACCTTCCCAGCACCCCCAGCCCAGGGCACGCCGCACCCAGGATGCATGTGGTGCCGCCTGTTTGTGGGACTCTGATAGCCGTGGGGCTTCACTCCACCCTGTGGATGCTCCTGTATTCCAGGGACACCCCCATATTATTCTGGGGCACTCTCACATTGTCAGTGACACCACAGCAGCAGGGAACTGGCTGGGGTGCTGCTTTTGGGGCTCCGTATCCCTGTGGCATCATCGCACATATAGGCACCCCATATTCCAGGGCACCCTGTCTCCTCCTACATTTTTGGGGCCCCTGCAGCACCCCACCCCCCCGAGGGCACCCCCAGGCTGCGAGGACCCCCATTCCCTGAGCACCCCTCAGCTTTGGCCTCCATTTGGCTCCTCCCAACCCCCCTTCCCCGCGCACCCCACGACTCCCCGGCGGCACCCCGCATTTGCTCTCCCCGCCCACCCAGCACGGTCCCGCCCCCCCGGGAGGTAGGCGGGGGCAGCGAGTGACGTCACGGGGGCCGGGACAAGACCGGCGGCCTTCGTGCATGCGCCATCACCGCCGCCACCGCCCGGCTCCGCGGCAGCCGGGCCGGAAGTGACGCGCGGGCGCGAGAGCGGAAGCGGCGGCGCAGGCTCGGGCGGGTCCCCGGTGCGCGCAGCGGGCTCGGCTCCCTCCGGCCTCGGCGCGCTGAGAGCCGTTCCCCATCCCCGGCACCGACATGATCCTGCTCGAGGTGAACAACCGCATCATCGAGGAGACCCTCACGCTGAAGTTCGAGGGCGCGGCCGCCGGGTAGGGCCGGGCGCCGGGCCGGTGAATGGGGCCGGGGCGGGGCGGAGGAGGAAGTCTTCCGGCCTGGCGAGGCCTGAGGGAGGGGAGCGGGGCAGGGAGCGCGGGGCCGTGTGAGAGGCCTGGGCGGGCGGGGTGGTACCGAGGCTTGGCCCTGGGCGTGAGGCATGGCAGGGCTAGGCGGGGAGAAGGGCGGCGTGGGATAGGGTGGTGCCGGGGGCAGTGACAGGGCGGGATGGGGCCGGGAGGGGAGGAAAGGGGCTGCGGCACGGGGTGGAGGGGGGCCGAGCTGGTGGAGCTGTAAGGCTAGGGTGGATGAATGGGAGGCTGCGTGAGGCAGGGCTTGATGGGGTGCTGAGGGCTGGGACTGCGTGAGGGCAATGGAGCTTGTGGTGTTGAGGCGGGCTGGGGTGGGCCTTTGGGCTGGAAGGTGTTGGCAGCCTTCATCAGAACAGGTCCAGAGTGGTGTCAGGGCTCGTGTGGAATGAAGGAACAGGGAGGTGACTTGTGGCACAGCAGCAGCTTCAACCTATTTCTTTGGGGGTGGGGAGCAGTTTCCTGTCAGCATCTTCTGCTGTCCCCACCTGGGACCCGTGTGTTCTGTCTAGTAGTGTAGGGCTGGTGAGCCTCTTGGCCTTGGGGAGGCTGTAGGGCAGCTGATTTGCACCTGCATCTTTGGCTTGGACAGTGCAGCCCCTGGGGAGCCACTGAGCATTACTGACAGAGATGCACTAGAGCCATGAAGGCCCTTGTCTGAGCGCAGTCCAGCTTGGGAGAGTCACCTCTTGTGAATGCCCATATCTGCAACCATGCACTTGCTGCATCTGAGTAGTGCTGTGCACCTTTGTGTGTGGACAAAGTCTAGAGAAGCAAAGCACAGCACTATTG